AAAGGTTACCCCGCTATGCAAACCAAATCTCTGACCACGAAGTTGATGCGACAGAGAAATTTGCTTCTCCGATCACCTACATGTGGGGCAATTGATTAAGAAGCCCCCCCCATAACCAACCAACCAAATCCCAATTGCTCCTCAAGTATACATGTCAGTGGAAAGATATGGTGAAATCATGCATAGTGGAAGGAATCAAGATCATTTGATGATCCATCATGTTATTGGGTGGACTATAGACTCTAACTTCGCATATAATCCTTGTTTAATTAGTTCAATTCATTTGGTTGTTCATCTGATGTTATTCATCATCAAGAGTTGTACTATCTGGTGAAAAAAAAAATTGCTTGCAAAAGCACCGGAAGTCAGTGACAAATTATCAATACACTAATATTAACACTACTGTTTACGCGTTCCTCAAAAAGAAATCATCAAGGCGTAAGACCTAGATTCGATGACAAATTCATCCATACAAGATCAATTTTTCAAGTAGATTCATCATCCACGGGCTACAACTACAAGAGGAGAAATAGCTCTCCAGTTCTGAACAGAGAGTTTTGCCCCTTTACCTCTCCAACTCCTGTACAGCTATCAATACAAATGGGATGAGTCCATTGACCTTAAGCAAAAACATCTCTTGACCAAAGACTTCAGCCCATTTTTGGACTGCAGCACCTACCCTTGATCTCTAATGACCTTTAATTGCTGAACCCTTCCGTTTCGGCCAAGATCAAGATTTGCCGGATCATATCATCAAAAAGAGTCACATGGGTTCTCCGTCTCGCTTCCGGGAGCGTCCCCTGAATTGCTGTCGGACAAGATACTCAATTTATTGAGCTACTAATCTGATAAGGAGTGATCGTGCCAACACAAAAGCATGGTGACGCAGCGCCTGAGGATGTAGATTCTTGTTTTCTGCTGCTTCATCACCATCAAACACCGCTTCCTGAACCCATTTCTCCGGCCGCTTTTGCCTCGAGAGCCAGACGACGGTGGGATTAAGTAAGAAATACTCATGGTGGTGGAGACTGGAGACTGGAGACTGTCTACCTGGAACTTCGGAAATTAGCTTTGAGATAGAATTAAGGGAGAAGAAGATTGATTGAGCTGGGAGCAGAGTATAGGAAAGCCCGTCATATATAGAGAGGCCAGAGAGAGAGGCTAGTGCTAGATATCGTGGTCCCGTTGTTTAAGTTTGCGGTCATATCATAATAATGGGTAGTAAAACCTAAAAACATGTATCCTTACACATTTTTTTTATTTTAAATAAAAAATATTATTTTATCCATGCAATTTCTTGCCTTCCAACCGAACTAAGAATAATCTTAATCGTGTTTTGTCTCATAAAACTCTCAAATAACCTAAAAGAATATTTACAAATTTGTCTTTTCTCTTCATTTTTTTACCCCTTAATGTAATTTTCCGTTTATATATATATATATATATTGCTTTCACATGCTCTAAAACTCACAAACTAAGGATCCTACTATTCAAAACTAGTTTGCATCCTATTCTTTAACATTTTCGACTATAAACTAAAGCCTGTTTGAATTGTATTTTTTAAAGAAAAATTGTTGCGTTTTTTTAAACACATTTTCAATCACCTTTTTATCTCACATATATTAAATTGTTACAATACTTTTTTTACAAAAAGTCCAGAAAAATGCGATCCAAACAAAACATAAGTGCATGGATGCGCCATCCCTAAAAAATGTGAGCTCCACCCACATATTTACGTGGAGTGGTCTATAGTTAAAAAATATATATGTATTCCTTTTTCTTAAGTAGTACCACATTCGAGTGGCTTATTTCATTTAAATAATTGACACATGAATGTGCCAAAATACGTTTTACGACTACAAGTAAACAGATAGTCTATACACTATACATCTCTTCCCCCCCGCTACAACTAACTAAAAGTAGGCTGAAACTTTTTTGGGAATTAAAAAAGAAGCTTAATTATTGGCATACCTTTGAGCTCAACATTTAATGATTTAAAGCTTCAAAAATTGTGGACTTTATGCAACTGCGCATTAATTTCGGTGGTGGGCATGGACAAGAGTCCATTGTTCTAGGTGATCATACGTGTAACATGGTAGTAGTACTAGTAGCAGCACAAAATTTTGACCGAAAATTTTGCAGGTTTCTGGCGGGTGGGGGCAGAGCTTGACCGGCACAGGCCTCCTCTCTCGAAGGCAATGTAATGGATAAGACTGAGCAAAAGAAAGAGCCGTGTGGAAGAGAACCAGAAACCTGAACAAATTCACTTTTGATGCTTTTATTTTATGCATGGATTGGATACAGAGAAAGAGACAGAAGCAGAAATGGGGCTGAAACTGGATACTACAAGTTGTAGCAGTTGCTCCGACTGCTCTACGTGTTCAATTCAAACACGTTTTTCTTTTTTTCGAAGTTTCGGAAGGCGCAGAACTTTTTCAATTTCCACTGCTGTTACCATTAGCACACCAATAAAGAGTTTGTTAGTATATATTTTCGCCTACCATTCCAAAATTCCATTCCTTACAACTGCAAGCCGCCATAGAACTTAGCCTAACGAACAACAACTTCTTTTTTTTTTTTTTCCACTTTCAAAAAATTTATAATTAAATTTTTGATAGCCATTAGGGAGGGGCTTAAGTCCCTCTTTGGGGTTGTAGGTGAGGGTTCAAGCCTCACCTGTAGCGAAAAAAATCTAAGGATTGTGCCATAGCATTCCCTTGGTTTAGTTGAGTCTGTATACTCACTAGCCCACTATCACAGCCTCCTTAGGCTCCTCTTCTCCCCTATATTAGGATAGAGTAGGTTATACAAATATATCGTTGCTGACAAAAAAAAAAGAAAAGAGATTTGTTGCCCTTTTGTGTCAGCGTGTCATTCGACCATTTGTGACAAAAGAACATTTTGCACGCAGCTTGCATAGCTACTGCTCTGTTCATATATTAATTAGGTTTGTTTGGATAGAGTATTATTTGGAATAATTACTGTAGCACTTTTTGTGATGTGATGTATGTGAGATAAAAAAATAATTGAGAATATAAAAAGGTGAATTGAAAAATGTGTTTATGATCCGAGTGAAATATTATTTGAGATATTTGTGCTATCCAAACACGTTATTGTTCCTCCGGACAAAAATCGAACGCATATCACATCATGTGGGACCAGTCTTATCTCCTATGACATGGCTGAGGTTCCACTGTCCAGGCGTATATTCTCCTTGGTAATTTGGCATCATTTGATGAAAGAATTGCTCCTTAATTCTGAATATTGGTTCAATTATTGGAATTTCTTAAATTAGTTGAGGGTTTCCCTCAAAGTGTAAATATGCTGTCCCCGTTTATAAAAAATAAAAATTAAAAAAAAGGTGAGAAAGAAATGCTGTCCCAGTCGGATTCGAGATCAATACAGGAATAGTTGAAAAGATTTTGTTAACTAATACGGATTAAGGTGTCATAATCTTGAGGTATATTTTAAAGGTTTACGGTCTCTCTCTACTCCCAAGTGGACAATTTTTGTCAAATTGCTGACTAATGTTGTTTGGCTGTTCTTGCAAATTCATTGGATCATATCAAATTTTACAAGATCGAGTAAGAAATTAGTTTTGGCAGCTTTGATAATTATAAAGGTGGGCGGTAAACACCCACTGGCTGCTTCTAGATTGCGACGCCAGGAAGAAATATATATATATAGTTCATGTGTTTGGTTAAAAATCAGGTATTGAGATACATAAAATATTTATATATTATGTGATGTGAAATGACATTATTATTATTATTATTATTTCTGAGTTCACCAAATCATCCAACTAAAATCTGTAAATGACGTGTTAAATACATGTAATCTTTCAGAATGGACAACTTCAAAAGCAATTTTGTGCAATGATTCACACCAAATATTAGGTACATTTAAACTAATATTGCTGAGCGGCTTTCGTTAATCTCTCATTATGGTCATATCCTTTGATCCTTAATAATTAAAGAAAATTGAATGTACATTTTACGACCAAGCATTTTTCCAGTATTTGAGCTTAATGCACGTGAGTTTCAGCACCCCCCCCCCCCCCCCCCCCAAAAAAAAAAAAAAGAACCAGTATGGTGTCATGCAACATGATCCCGAGTCAGGAGGACGGGCAATTCAAACGTGCGATTTTGTTTTATCTCATTGGCTGCAACCTAATATTGCTTGCATCCAACAACCTCGTCCGGCACATCACTATCAATTTTTTTTTGTCAATCATAGACATCTAATACTACTCATCTAATAGTACTCCTAAACTAAACTAGCATATGGTCCTATACTAAGGGAAAATCAAACTATTCCTATTACTAAAATTTAGAGACATGCGAGCTATTGGTGCGGGAGTGGTTGTTCAAAACGATCAAAAGAAGTGAAGGGGCAGCGTGCAAGTATGATCCCGTTTTACCTCATTGATTAAATTCAACAATCCCGTTGGCATTTTAGGATGAAATATTTATATTGGTGCTCAAGGCACAAATCATTTTTTGTACAACTAATAGAAAAAATATTATTAAAGTTTTTGCAATATTTTGTTGAAATAATTTTTGGGAGAATTGGTTTTATGTTTTTGACAATATAGATGGCAGAAAATTCGCCAAAAAAAATTGTATAAATAGATAGATAGTCATTTGATGCTAATCAGTAGCCATAATTGATAGTAGTTGTTAACAAAAATTAGGACGTACTAAATAAGTTGAAAAATAGAATAATATGAAATACATGTTATTTGGTAAGAAAGAGATATTGATCGTGTCGTAATAAGTAATTATCAAGAACAATTTAAGTATAACATAAGATAATATGAAATTTATTTAAACAAAAAATTTTCTCCCCTCTATATATATAGAGTGTAGATGAATTGATCGCTAAGCCATCGAAATAACTTTATTGAATCAAATCACTTGTACTCTTTTGTCAAATCTAGATGATGGAATACTACTATGACAAAACTTTCGAGTCAACATAAGCAACGTCAGCAATATCACTAGGAGCTAAACCCTACTGAAAGAATTACTATTAATCTCGTAGCTTTTTCAGTTTTACAAAATCGAAACAATCATTCCAAAATCAAATCCCTATGATTACCAAGATATCTCTTTTGATTAGGATCTATCTTTTTACCCGTTCAAGATATCTTTTTGCTTTGCGAGCTTCAACAAGCTTGGCACGCCTGTTGACTTTTCGGTGGAGGTATACGAATAACAGATTAGGGAACCATTTATACAATGCACAGATTAATTTACACACAGTTTGGGACGCTTTATAGGGATCATACACACCATAAAAAGTAAAATATCGTATCTACATCTTCAGGTGGTAATACTTGTCGAGCAGCTTCTCCGTATACTCGCCAAAAGTAAGAGATCCACGAGATGGAATTAACTGGATATTACGTATTAGGCACACAGAAAAACTGAATAAATTTAACGTACCGACATCCAGATACCAATGCACCAGAAGATGGCTAAATATGGACGCTTTAAACGGATCGCAATTCACATGTCATACTCTTTCAAATGATTGGGATTCAAAAAGGTACCTGTTGATGAATATGCACCACCTCCGGAAACTTGAGCTTTTCGTCCCTAACAATGACAGGTACAGTAGAAGCATTAGAAAAAGCTGTAAACAGATTGAACACAGAAAAGGAGACGTAAAAGTGGCGAAACAAATTACTCAGAACATTACCAAATCCCGCCAACAAAAGGAATAGGTAGGCGCAGGGGCGAAATTGACTGTTAATACGCAACCGCCTTAAGTTCCCGCAGAAGGCAGTCCTACATGATGACTTAACGTATTCCCGCTTTGTTGTGTCACTTCATAAATCATCTACAGTTTAGCAGTTTATACCTCTAGACTGTTGAAGCTAAGAAACCTATAATGTACAAATTATTTTCTGAGGACTTTTGTTGGACAATCACCTAAAAAGATGCACCGCTAGATTCCACATTACCGTTCTACGTTCTCTCACTTTCCTGCAGCCACTTGATCTTATGAATAACTAATTAAACCTATCAAAGGCCAAAAAAATTCCCAACTATGTTTTCACGTGAACAACAAGCGCTGTTCCTGTAATCTATAGGCTAACAAGACAATTGAACCCCTCAAACTGTAACGGCTAAAAGAACTGAAGTTCTACTAGTGTAAGTTTACTCAACCAACGTCTGATAATTCCCCTTTATGAAATAAGAGTAATTACTCTTATGCAACCATGTTATGCTCCAACAAAAATAAAAATAAAAAAAAGAAAAGAAATAAGAGTAGTTACTCATATTTTGCAAGTAATTCTGAAACCAAATTAATCCAACAAGGTGCTTACTGTGTGGGGAATGAAAGTGCTACATAACTTGCTTACTAATAATTATCTGAAGGTGAGAGCACAATCAATTAGAGATTCTATGGCTGGTTAACAAAGCAACAACTGAGTGTGCAAGCCAACCACCCAAGTCAACCCTACAGTCACCTGATGACATGTGTCTGTCACTCACTGACAACCCAGCTTCAACAGCCAAGATTCTTAATGTAAAGCAAGTTTTATGAGAAAAAACAAACTCAGTATGAGCACAATCAGCCTACATAGACTAGTAATCTACGACACTTAAACAAAAGCAAACAGGACAGTAACACACACATACCAGTCAGGCTGCATGAATAATGCAAATGTCGAACGATCAACGCCAAATGCTGCTTCCCCCAAGGGTGCCTAATTTCAATGCATTATAGGTTTAGGAAGTGAAGGAACAGAGAAATTAAAGGATGTTACAGGTTGAGAAACAAACAAGTAACATGTCCTAGGTCTTTCAAGAAAAAGTGGACATCTCTGGTTGCAAGAATCTGTCTTTTATCCATCATCATTTTTTAAAAAATGTATAATAAAAGAACGTAACACAACCATTGTCATTTTTTTACAGTAATTACTCATGTTAAGTGATTCACTACGACAAGAACTTTGGAGATTTCTCATATACATGCTAGTGGATAGTTTCTTTATATGGAAAGTCTCCAAATCTTCAGCACCTTCCAAGTATAGGGCAGTCAAACCTCTTTAGTGGATGGATATTAAAACTCTTGCAGTATGAATCTTAAAAGTTGTTAATTCAAGCTTATTAACAAATATGCTCTTCATTAAGGAGTAAACTTTTGGTATACTTCACATGAAACAAATAAAGAGAACAAATTATCTCGAGGAGTGCCACTAGATACTTGGAGAATGAGAGCTATATCGAATTAAAATCAAACTCTGGAGGAGTAAAAAGAATTGAAATGTTAAAATATTACAAGCAGATATCAATATAATAGGACAGCAGACACAACAAATTTCAGACTCGATTTTATGAATTGCAAAATGTTAAAGCCACTCTCGCTCCCTAAAACTTAGAGAGAGAGAGAGAGAGAGAGAGATGCCCATGCCATCTCTCCAAGAATCTTGAAAGCGCATAAAGAGAGAAGGAGATACCCGAACACAATGTGGTGTTGCACAGAGCCGACCTCTGGACAATATCTCAGTTGTCTCACCTATTTGATATGCAATTTCATCTTCACCATACACCACCTAACTCAATAATCATCATTTGCCTGGATTAGAAATTACTACCCATTTTGCGGGGAAACAATATATGAGTATCTAAGATGGAAATTCTAAAGACCAATTTTATAGTAAACACACTATTTCAAAGCACGCACAGACATGGCATATCAACATTTCCCACTACAACTACCCAACTTTCTGCATTTTGGAAAACCATCTTAAGGAGTTATTTCAAATGCATCTTCATTAACCTTGTTGATATCAGAAAACTGAGAGAAAAAGAGTAGGGAAGAAACTCTCTTCTCTTCTTTGAAATGAGGAAAGGATTGCTGATGGAAAATATTCAAACATGAGCTTAACTTGCAATGGTACAAGGATTCTGTTTTAGGATTGGCCCCCATTGTAACTAAATTATATCATATCATATCTCCAGTACAATCATAAATATGTCTGAAATAAGTTGGTATCTTGAGAAAGAAACCTAAAATCAGCAATTGTGAAACATATACATAACACAGATAAGCACATATAGATATATCTATGCATGCATGCAGGTATAATGTGATTTTCCAAACACAATTTTCTTTTGATTTTGAAGCATAAAGAAATATACTTTGACTAATTGGCCACTACGTGATTTTACATAAAGCCCAGCAGCATTATCAGGGCAAGATATTTCTACAGCATCCTTCTTAAACATGGCACGCGTGAGACCTACATGTTCAATTCAAGCAACAATTAGACAGAAACAAGAAAGCATGAAGGTGCAGACTTAAACTTCAAAAATATAAGTCAAATACTCAAAACTTGAGTAGTCGGATGGATGAAAGGAATGTTGTACTTCTTTCAGGAAAAGTCGACCAGGTATCTAACATCCAAGGAGGGAAAAGGCAATTTAAATTTTTGCAAGGTTTAAAAGAAGGGATTTGGGCTACATGGTTTGACTTGACTTTATGTTTCAGAGTTTGCATACAAAGCACATATAAGTTGAACTGTAACTAAACTTTATTTTACTCGTCTGTGAATGGATACTTTAAAAGTCCTAGTGTAGGTTGGAAAGTAATTAAACAGATGCATATCAATAGCATGAGTTCTGCCTTCCTGTTCCTTGAATTAAGCAAGGATGATAATTTTTCCACTTTTTCATTTCATTTGACAATGGTAATCTATATGTTTTAGGCACCATGGATGCATTGAATAAGAAACTGTTGATGGTAAAAGAGGTGGAACTTATAGAACAGAAGATTGCAATTCACTAAGACACCACACAAGAGATGTCTCTAATTAACAGCTCTTTTGCTAGGAGAATAGACTAACATTTGGCATATTCAGGAAATGTCCCAGCACATTTATGTGCTTGTGGTCCAGGTGACCACAATTTTATAATCGTCCCTAGGGTAGGGCCTAATTTCATTTTATGACTGTTCCAGTACTTAGCCCCTTATAGTTATTTGACCCAGGTACCAGTTTTCAGACATGACTTACCCGTCAGAGAACCATGATCAGTGTGCCATCCACACCAAGATGACATCGACTCACCATCCTGACTGCAACTACTGCAGCACAAGTCATATAATTCTGGTAAAAGATATTCATTGAGATCTTAACCAAGAATTTTCCATCTTGAGATACAGGATAATGAAGATCAACATTTTTCTTCAGTAAGGATTGTATAGATGTTTAAACTAAGAAAAGAACCTCAAGTAGATTTAGTAAAAGATGCAAAAAGTAACTGGCCAAAAAGAAAATAATCTCATGCAAATACAAGAAACAATAATCTTAGTGATGCATCCATAAGCTGATGGAGATATTGAACCACCCCCTTACCCACCCTCCCCCCCAACAACAAAAAAAAAATCCACCCCCAACCCTAAAGGGAAAAGAAGAAAAGGAAAACAAAGATCCCAAGCGAAAGAAAATCAAAGCATAAAATGACCAGTCCCACCATCAGCTATGGACACGGTTATAATTAAGAATATTTATCTATTAGAAATTGGAGAATGAGAAGCACATTCACTATCAAACGGTCAGTCTAACTAGTAGGAAAGTCCTTGAAGAAGAAAATCACTGGTAGGAAGAATGAAGCAGTATGCCAGTATCGCAAAGATGGCCATCAGATGATTACAGAACATCAAATTTTCTTTTAACTTTTCGCAACAAATGGAAAAGAATTTATTACAAAGACTAAGCACTAGTACTGTCCAAATATATTGAACAGAGAAGGGTGAGAGACAGAAGACTCTGTTCAGAGTAGAACTTGTATTCCATTGATATTTCATCATTATTGTTCTGGTATATTTATCATTTATGAACATTGTTAGGCCTGTGCTTCATTGACTAAGCATCCATATTTTCAATAAAAAAGATAGCTTAAGTGCCAAAAATTTCAATATTTTTGCAGTCATCATCTCATAATCAATTAATAAGCAGTTTAAACATTTAAGTTGCTTACAAGTAACCTATGTCTCATTCTACTTACGCAATTATTTATTCAACTGATTCAAACAAAACAGAATTATCTTTTCCCTTTTTTCTGCATTAACAAAATTCAATGTGCAATATAACCTTATGAGAGATAGAACTTATATATTGGTAATACATATAACATGGACTAAACTTCACAGGGTAATAATAGACAAGTAATGAGGAAACTAACCTGTGTTTCGCAGGAAAATAGTACAACAGACGACCTTTATGACATCTTGAGCGACGAAGTATCTGTTCAAGGCCATCATCCTCAAGCATTTTCATCCCTTGAAATGCTGCAGATATCCATATGGAATTCACTAAATACACAATACCAATAATTCTCAAGTAAAACTACAACAAGTACAAGCAGAAAGGTCCTCATACATGTTAGAAAAGAGGTCTGGAATTAGGAAACCAAAAAAAAAAAAACCAGGAGGCAAGTAGATAAGTGAAAAGAAAAGAAAGCATTTAAGATCAACTTACCATAGAGGTCACAGTGATATGCCAACAACATCCCAACTTCCAGAATCAGCTTCCCGAGAGGTTTAAAAGCTACACATTGAGGATAGATGCTAAGTAGCTATAACAAGATGAACTAACCTTCAAAGAACATAAAGATGCAATTAAGTTGTATATTCATGAATATCATTTTGCACCAAAATGAATCAATATATAATTTATGCCTATTCCATCACATATCAAATGAAGAAGGAGAGAACCAACCCCTCCCCCCCCCCCAAAAAAAAAGGTGCAGGTAAAGGCAGTAAACGTAAATGAAATTCCAGATGAATTTTACAGCTATTCCATCCCTAAGGTGTTGAATCGCTCATTCCATGAAGACTAATTTAACTCCAATGATGTAGATAAACTAACATAAACTAATGCAAACACTGAGAAGTACATTAATGAGTTGGATACAATAAATCTAGACATCATGATGAAATCAGAAATGAGAAACACATTGTAAGAGTGATATTTCAAGGATTGAATTTGACAATTAAGCCGCCACGACTTAGTTTAAAAAATTATGCAGTAGGCATTATAAAATCCAGCTCGCACATTTGAATTGATAGTTCTTCTTAATCTTACAAGTTTCAATCAATGATCTGGATACATACTAATTATCAAAGGCAGTTGATTCCCCACACCTAAACTTTTACCCATATTAACTGTAGTTCATGCCGCTCCAGATTTTTGAAACTTGTAAGACAAGTTTGACGTCCATAAGAAAGTAATAAGTGTTAGATTAGATAGGCTGAGCATCTAGATGAGCATATACTAAGTGTCAGGACCAAATGTCAAGAACAACCTGATTGACAATTCAAGCTGAAAAGCCAGTGTATCTATCTGTAACTTCCAAAGAGCAAGAAGAAAAACTATTTCAGAAATACATTACATACCTGGTTCGAGTTCTGGGAGAGCACTACGAGGCCAAATATTTGCTCCACAGTATGAAGGGTACCTATTAGAAATGGCACAGCAGAAGTTTAGCAAGACCTACAAGCATGGGTACTCTTCACAAAATTGAAATTTGTACAAGAAAATTCTGATGAACTTTCTAGCAAAATATTTCCTTTAACTCATTTGACAGAAATCACAAGAGATATCGAATGAGTCTGATATATTTGCACATGAAAGTAGCCAGTCATAATATTTCTAAATGAAGGATAACACTAGCCACATGTACCGTTGAATAAGGGCTGGGTCACTGGTAGGTTTATCTAGTACTGGATTTGCGTAAAATGACCCTTTCAGTGTATCTGCATTCAAAGACAACCACAACAGAAGAGAAGATGTTATCAAGGTGATTGTAGACTGAAAAAAATATGCAACTCAAACACAGTATTGGTCACGAAAGTTGCAGCTTTTTACAAGAGGAATACCCTGATGGTTAAGATGAATGTAAATCCATGACATTGTGGTGTTAAAGATGAAAAGATCAAACCTACACAGACCAATTACAAATCTCACTGCCATAGAAGCTTTGAACTTCACATTGTCCACCCACACACATTAATATGGTTCAAATGACCAAATCAAAAGATACCAGTTGAGTCAATGTACCAATTGCACAAGCTTTACCTGGCTTTCCGGATTCAAGCTTCTCTTTTCCATGACTCCATCCGAAGTTGTATCTGCATAATTTCAACAAAATTTTTGACACATTTGAGTCTGTATACAGCAGGTGGGACAAAAATTATGTTTACAAAATTTTCAAGCTTAATAAGCTAATGAACCAAATTGCAAGAGATGATGGTGACCAAGTTTATACTAACACCAATGAAGTACATGGAAGCAACCTATTTTAATTCCACTATCCAATAGTTGAAAAAAGGTTATTTCAGAATTATTGACAGTGTGCTTATATTACCTACTATCAGGGTCTTCGAGGTCCCTCTTCTGATCATCTGAAAGGCCTGCTAATCTGATACAAAGAAACAAACTTAGAAATCCTGAACATCTCCTTTGTGTAAGTAATCTTTGCGCGTTCAACTAACGTGTAAACATTTCATGCAGCATCTCATACCGAGGTGAAAGATGGAGAAGGTTTTGACGCAATGATGAATACCCAGGAACCTATAACAAAATCAGTTAGACTGAAAAATAGGCAAGAACAACTACTAGACTTAAATTGATACAAAAAAAAAAGCAAGACGCAATAACTACACAATTCAGCAAACAAATGCAAGAACTTTCATGCATAAAAACCATAAGAAGCACAATCTATATCCAATAAGTAAAAAAGAGGTGGTTTGCAACAAAGTATATTATGTACATCTGCTATAGAAAGAATTCCCAAACCATTTGGCCCAAAGCCTTCCTCAATCTTTGCGGACAAATCAGCACCTTTATCCTAGTTCATAAATACACCAGAAAACAAATTTCAGTACGCAGACATGCACATGTCTAAATGTATAAAAATTCATGCATGTGAGCAAAGTCTCTTTTTTTTTTTTCTTTCTTTCTTTCTTTTAAGTACTTGGACGCGTAAATTTAGAGACCAGTTTTTAGAGTTTCCATCATACTTCAAAATTAACGCGACGTTCACTGTAAATGAACACTGCGAACCTCAAGTAAATTCCATTCTATTGACTCCTAAAAACAGAATATGGCAATTAGCTCTCTGATCATGAACTACTGACAACGAATGAAAACTAGTAGTAGTTATTAGCTACTTGATCTGCTAATGCATTTCCCAGATTTGCAATCATATTACAGAGAAACTTTGTATACATATTCTCGCACCTATGCTAACACCTAAGCACATGTCAAACAACATGCATGCATACACAGACGAGAAAATTCCAATGGCAATGGCAACTCTAATGCCAGAGTTTGTAAATTAGCCCATGAGTTTCCAACAGGGACAAGTAAGACGTGGATATACCTAACTATATAACTATATATGGAGAAGTTAGTGGCGATTGGCGAAAGAAACATGGATACCTTGAGTTGCGTGTATGAAATAGAAACTGTTTGAACAACGTGAGTCTGAGGTTGAGAAGAGCAGGACGACATTATTGGAAATGGATGAGTAAGACGACTGGCGGCGGAAGGCTGCGGAGGTGAAGGCAATCGCAGGGGACCGTATTGAAAGAGCGATTGAGAGAGAGACTTCAGAGAGTAATGGTGGTGGTGGTGCTTTGAAGATTTAAAGGTGGAGCCGGCTGCATACGTAGGGGGAATTCTGGAGAATTAGAGAGGCATAGCAGTATAAGTAAGCTGAAATTGTGGGTTTTAAGCAAGGGACGGAGTCGGGAGGAATCCGAGCCGGAATAAGTTTAAAATATGGAATACAGGCCTCCTCTGTTGCGTATGCACCACGGCGAGAGCGGCGTCTGATTCTCAACTTCGACTTCCCCATCTTGTCCTGACGTGACCTGGGCCATGTCCGTTTTGAACCCAGTATGCACTGGTCATCATTGGTTGAGTTGTTCTAATGTTGCACGGACCTTCAAAGAGCAATTCCCACGTTTCTTATGGATTTCAAAATCATTCTGCGGGGAGGGCGTAAATTTCAAATTTAATGAATTTATATCTTGACGTGTAACGCGTCTAATAATTAAAAATAAAATATTTGAATTAATTAATTACTTAGATGATATTAAATTTTTTAAATAAAATTAAATCTAAAATATAAGTGATGAATTCTAGAAGATATCAAATTTAGTATTTAATAGTTTAATAATTAAAGTGATTCAAACATTTTTATACCTGAATTTTATCAAACGCACAACCTAAAATGACTCACAATGATTCAAACATTTTCATTTAACTGAAAATGAAGGTTATGGCCAATTGGTTGGTATCTTTCTGAATGCCAAAACTTCTAGTCTAAACGCCCCAATGATTTTGAAATCCATAACAAACTTGGATGGGAATTGCTCGTACAAACCACAAGGCACTCGTGGCAGTTGGAAAAGATTATGCGCACTTGACACGCGCGTGCTATTTTTATGTCGTTGAATTTCCTCGCTTGTATGTATACTGTATAGCTCTCTCTCTCTCTCTCTCGTCAATGCTGTTCAACGAACTGGAAAATGGGAATCAGTAGTGGTATCACGACCATCTGCTGCTGCAGCGGCACTAGTATAAGCAAGCTCCACTTCCACCACCATCTTCCTCGCGCATCTATTCCCTCCATTTCTCCGTCTCCATCTCCAGCTCTCCAGGGTAGGATCAAATTTTCATCATTTTCTTCGCGGTCTGTTGCAGCAGCACGACATCGTTTGGGTTCCGCCACCGCGTCATCTGTTGGCAGCAGCTGCTTCACATGGGATGATGTATTTCGAGCCGGTGAATCAAATGAAACTGACTCTGCGTCTGACCTCGGAGGCTTCTTTGACAGAGTCATACTCTGCAACCGCAATTTGGTAATACTGCTAAAAACTAGCACCTCAACACCCCCCCCCCAACACCCCCACCAATTGAACAATATGCTAAGCTATAAGATACCCTTTCACATATCTGTACTTTTATAGTATTTATTTTTCTGATTTAATTGGAAACCAATTTTGCAGGAGAAGCTAAATGAGTTTATGCCATTCGTCATTGCAAATCAAATAGTTGGCTATGTACATTTTGGGTAAGCCCATTGTAGTACATCTTATAATTCTCTAAAGTTAATCATTTATTGTATATCAGTATTATTGTCTTTTATATTGATTATGATTTTTTTAATGAATGCTTAATATTATTTTGGAGGTTGTAGAATTGAACAAAAAAGTGGCAGCTTTCAAGGATGTCCCAACTGTGTTGTTATTTCTGTAACGTTATGTAATTGGAAAAATTAGCACGAGGAAGTGGAACTTTATGTGTAGAGAAAGTGAAATTAATCAAATTGATATTAATCAGCAGATCAATTAAACCTTACCCCCTTACCAGTGAATGTACTTGTTCCACTGACCTGATTCATGAATCTAGTTACAAATGAGAATGCTTCTACAGATGTTATCGCTTCAGCTCGTTTGAATTTCATAGGGTTCTTTCCTTCTTTATTCCTTCTTCTTGTTATTTTTCCAACACGGTGTTTTCCATGTAATGTAGGTTTGCAGATCATCTGAGGAAGTTCAGGGATGTGTTTGTCTTCCAAAAAGATACCAAGGCTTTCAGCAGCAATTTCGGGTGCCATGTCACTCTGCATTCATCTCTGACGACTGCTGAGGATCGGACAAGAGCTGTTGGAGATGTTGTCAAGTGTTTGGGGGAGGAACTGATTCCAGGTATACGAAATGAGGTACTTAAATCACTGGATGCTCCCTTTTCATCTAATTTCCTTAATGTGGTTATAGTGGCTGTTTTGCTTCTATGATTCTGATTTTTTGAGTTTAATCACCATTCCATAGGCACTTCTTCTTGGGTTAACTCTTAATTCTTTTGATTTGTGCAGCTATTCCCTGTCGTATCTTCTTTTGGTTCGCCTATATTTTTTTCGGTTGAACGAGCAGCAGCACCATACTTTGGGACAAAGGTATAAAAGAGTCTGTTCCCTCATAATTCTATGGCTTCTGAACATTTTGATGCCATACAGTTCAAATTTTTATTCTGAAATAAAGATATATTGCCAATGTAGTTATGGGTGCAGCTTACGTAATGGTTAGTGATAAATGCTTGTTCTTATTACATCTTGGCCTCCTAATTTTATACTGACCATTGCCATTGCCAAGCACCCAAGAACAGTTTCAGTAATAAGGTTGTTTCTAGTATCCTACTACCATTTGTGCAGGATGGCTAGCTTGAACATATATTGGGTGCTACTCTTTTGGTTACTACTAGTTGTTTCTATAATTTTTGGATACCTTCCAATAATTACTTAATTGGTAGCTAAGTTTGAAAATAAACCTTGTGAGAATTGTGGCATTTTAAGATGAAAAGGAGGATTGGATTAGGATTCATGGCTGCAATTTTTGCCTATAAAACTTATTGATCCTCCTCCTCCTCCTCCTCCCTCTGTCTTGTGTCATGTTATGTTAAAGCAGGCTTATGGGGTACACATGAATGGCTATGTTGAAAAGGATGGGCAGAAGTATCTTTGGGTAGGGAAGAGAAGTGAAGTGAAACCCACCTATCCAGGGATGCTTGATCATCTAGTGGCCGGTGGACTGGTAAATACTGACTTTTATTTTGTGCTAGGTAGTTACCACTCATGCATTACATATGAACCTGAACATGGAAAGTATTTTGTCTGCTGGGGGCATCTTTATGCCGAACTTCCCATTGTATTTTAGTAACTCTTGTCCCACACTCAAAGTTTCTCTGCCTACAGGGGCTGTATACCTCTAGATAACAGTTTCTGCATTGTAAGTAGAAAAGTATACAGACGAGCCTAGAGAATATTCTTCTGTCCACTGTACTAATGTGATATTTGACATGGCAGATACATGCTAGGTACTTTCATTCACTGGGCCTCCAAATCAGTTTGTGCACTTTGTATTTGATGAATTTGCCTACCTGTTTGACTAACCAGAATTACCATACCTTAAAAGATATCCCTGTGTATTTGTTTAACCAGAATAATAAAACTTGAAAAGATTAAGAATGCTGTTAGTGCGTTTGTTGTTGCTTTTTCAGCTCCCAGAATAAGCTGGAAAAGTTTTAGTCCAATATGATTTAACCGTACACCATTCTAATTACAGCCACATGGTATTTCCTGTGAAAAGAACCTTGTGAAGGAATGTGAAGAGGAAGCAGGCATACCAAGTTCTATTTCCGGCAGGTAAGTTTTTGACTTTCTGTTGAACTAGGCTAGACTATCCAACTATGAGGACAACCATATGCTTGAAGTGAAACTTATATAGCAAAAATTTTCCATACACTTGAAGTGAACCTTAAATAACAAAAAACTTGTTTTCGCCAGGCATCATGTATGTCCTATCTCTAGGTTTCTTTTCTTTTCTTTTTTTTTCTTGTGTTTCTGTAATTTTTTTCTCTCACTTTTATGTCATGTTGGCATGATTAGGGTTCTAGATAATGTGCCCTATTCCCTCCCCCTCCCCCCCCTCTCCCCAAAAAAAACAATAAAAGATGATGTACAATAAACTTAATAGATTAGTTCATTACTGGAAGGTGTTTGTTCTAATGCAGAGCTGTCCCAGTGGGAGCTATATCCTATATGGACATTGACGGACATAGATTCAAGAGAGATGTTATGTTTTGTTATGATTTAAAGCTTCCAGAAGGTTTTATTCCCAGGAATGAGGGTAGCGTGCTCAAATACCTCAACTTTAATTAACCAACATATAATTATTATTACATAATTTGCATGGCTGTAAATTATTTATAATGAAACAGATGGAGAGGTGGAAAGCTTCAAGTTGGTTCCAGTAACACATGTTGCTAACATCATTAGAAGCACAGAGTTCTTCAAAGCAAATTGCAACCTGGTCATCATTGATTTCCTTTTCCGACATGGGTATGAAAATCCATATTTTCTATAAGTTGCATTTTTTGGGGGGGAGGAAGGGGGGGTTACATAAGTAGTATGCAGCTGTATGTTCTGCAGTTTCATGCCATATTAGGGTAGAAGTTTTAAGTTGAATGCCACTTAAAAGCTCTTGAAAGTTGTGCTGCAAATGGAGCTCTGTTTAACGATGCAAAATAATAAAAAATGAGGTGCCTATTCTCACCAGGAACTCCCTTGCGTGCCATCAATTGGCGCATAGGATTTTTGCATCCTTTAACAGCAGAAAGCTTCCAATGCTAAATAAGGTAGCCTGTGTTTAAACTGCTGCCATTTCTCCCGCTGCCCAACAGCTGTAGTGAGTAAAGGAGCAAAATAAATAAACATGAAGATGTGTTATAAACTAGCAAGATGCACCTTACTTCAGACATTCTATCAGTTGGCATTTCTCTTCCTCAAAGCAGTTAGCATTTCTCTTCCTCAAAGTGAATGATAACTTGATTCTGTTAAATCTCGAGGTTATAGTTCATTTTAACTGGTAACTGGACTCTGGCAAATTAACCATCTCAAAGCACAGGGCACCAGGAATTGAAATCAAAGCAACTGAACCTGATTGCTTTTCTGATGTGCTGGGATCTTGTTCATGTCATTTTAAAACTTCTTATCTAAATATCTTGCAGGTACATTACACCAGAAAATATTGGATATTTGAAGCTACTGCAGAGTTTGAGAAGTGGGGACTGCTCTTGAATGCAATGAATTGTTATTTTTGGGTTTTTTCTTCAGGACTTGTTCATTCAATTTTCCCACATTCGGTGGCAAGTCAGGATAGAGCGACCAAGCGTTGCAAGGAGGTGCCTATTCTTACCAGGCTCTTTCTTAGAAATTTCTTGTGACCTAACCGAAATGAAACAAGAGATGAGGATGTTGTTACCAGTAATCACTATCTAAGCATCAGCGTGAAACACCAGCAATTTGGCAAGCGCAGTCAAAAATTTGCACGTAGTGCCAAAGGACCTCTATCCTTAGCCTCTCTCTGCAAATG